AAATCCAATCATGCTTATCCGTTGGGGCCTCACATGATTATTTTATTGATAGGCCCACAATGCGCCTGGAGGTTAAATTAATTTCTTAATTTAAATCTCCTCCCATAGATATTTAAATCCAATCTAATAAAATCCAATCATGCTTATTCGATGGGAATTCACATGATTATTTTATTAATGGTCCTATAATGCGCTTGAAGGTTAAATTAATCTCTTAATTTAAATCTCCTTCCATTCAACATAAGCAACATTTTCTAATTTCCAAGAATTATTTAATTGAGAGTATCCTTTGTTTGATTTCAAAAACTATATAAGTAAGAGCACCGATAAACGTGCACTAAGCTTAACATAATTTTGAAAGCATTAAGGTACTGAAATCCGGTCACTTTACGTCAGCGTGTGCTCCAAACAATCATGATACATGAATGTTGTATGCAGCGTGTGTTATTCCATGACCATTTCAGAAAACCCAAAAATTACTCGCAAAATAAAAGAATTCTCTTAGGAAATTTTCTCTAATTATTTTTCTAGATTTAAATCATCCAAATAGCTGACTTAATTATTAATCTAGATTGCAACAATCATAATAATTATCATTTATGAGGATAATTTGAAATCAAAATAATTTCCATAACGATTATTTGTCTTGATGTTAATAATCCAAAATTAATTAATTCAATTATTAATCTAGATTTTTAATAAAAATCATAATAATTATTAATTAATTTCTTAGGATGATTTAAAATCAAAATAATCCCATAATAACTATCTTACTAGTCGCTGAAGACATAATAGCTATTATGCTCATGCAATCATACAAGTTATGCAACAATATGGCACCACCTATTCTATATGGCATGTTATCGCAATAAAGCATGTTATCAATCATATAATTTATACCAATCAATAAAAGCATTAAATAATAAATCATAATTACTTTAATCCATGGTCTTCCTATTTTAAAGAAAATAAAATTAAATAAAATTAAATAATACAACTTTGGAATTCGACTTTCGCCTAGCCCATAGTATCTGTCTCAAGCCCCTTTAGGGTTTCATGGGCCCAAAAGCCCAAAGACTCAATCCTTTGGCGAGAAACCCTAGGACGCGAAAGAGAAACCCTAGCCGTCAGGTCTGCCGCGCCGTCACCCGAAGTCAAATCAGGCCGAAACCCCAGGGGAAGGACCGCCACATAGAGACGAGTGCACCTCCGCCGGAACCACCCAAAAAGGTGGCCGGACGCTCCCTCACTCTCCCATTCTTTTCCGGAGAGTGGCGGCCACTCTCATCTGCTTGTGGAGGCGTGTGGAGGAGCGTGAAGGCTCCAATGGTGGAGATCCACCCACCGTTGCGTTCTTCTTTCCGTCCTCTTTCCAACCATATATAGATCGCCCCATTCCGATATCGGTAAGTCCTCGAAAAGTCTCCGACAGTGCTGACTGCGCATCTTCCTCGCGATTTCTCGATCTTGAACTTTTACAAAATATTGAAAAAATACACAGAAATTCCAAAAATAAACAAAAACAGCAAGGAGGAAACCTAATCATATGGGATTAGCCTCCTTGTTACAAATCGAGAAATTCACGAGAGACCCTAACCATGGATTAAAGCATTTTACCGATTAAAATTTAAACTTTTATGAAAATGAATTATAAAATACACATGCTAGATTCATACCATAATCCTAGAACCCTAGGTGCCACATTTCAAGAAGCAAAACTAATTACATGAATAGTGAAACTAGATTCACATACCAATGTACAGCCAAGGCTCTGATACCAATTGTAGGAAATCTTAGATTTATGCGGAAGCGGTTTAGGACCTAGTACATTGGTATGCTTACCGAATCATCCTTGTTTCACAATTACCTCTCGGTGCGCAGGTCTCGTGTAGAATCTTCCCTTGTAGGATTCTTCTTCACGAACAGCTCACCTCAGCTCCGCAGCACGAACAACCTCCTTGAAGGAGGACTGTGGCAGATCTTCCAAACTATATCTCGAGGAGGAAGGGGAAGTGTGTGGGCACTGATTAGATTCTGAGCTTACCTCTTTCTCACAAAAGAGACTTTTTTGGCTGATGACTTAAGAGGTACTATTTATATGGGTTCCAAGAAACCCTAGCTCATTGGGCTCTAGGTTCCTTGGGCTCTTCTCATACTAATAACCCATTTGGACTTTAGTAAAAGAGCAAACCCAACAGTTTCATGATGGGAAATATCACTGGTTGTGCTTTCTCTTTATTACTCAACTGTCCAATTCTCAGAAAAAAAAAAAAAGAATTTTACGTTCGGTGACAGGGTATTATAGAAATATATACTTTAATGATTTATTGTTGAGATCCCCATTTGCTTGTTGTCTCAAATCTCTCTCTGTGTTAAATGTAATCTGATGTGTAGATGTTGAAAGGGAGCCGTTGCTGATCTGAATTTGGTGTAAGGGTTTAAAAAGGTTTTTTTCTTTTCTCTCTTTTGTTTTCTTCAACGGCCACACATTTACCATTCCCTTCACTGCATTGAACGATAGATGCTATAGAGCTTGTACTGTACTTTTTAAATTACTCCTGCAATGTGTTATTTTTTATTCCTTTTTATTATCTGTTAGAATTTGAAGTTCTCTCTCAAGATGTTATGGATGATGGAGTGATTTTCTTATTGGAGTGGAAATTACATACCAAAATGCAAGCAATGTCAGTCAAGATTTAGATGAGTTTTGTGGAGAAAGAGAGCCAGTGATTGACACAACTTTGATACCATGGGCATAAAGATAGCAAGCATTTTTATTTATTTATGTTTATTTTGTGCAATTTGTTGATTAATTGTGAATTTTTAATAGTGTGATTGAGTAATTTTTAAGCTTATTTAGTTAATCTTGTTTATCTTATTTTAAATATGAAGAATATTTTAAATTTATATATATATATATATATATATATATATATATATATATATATATATAACCTAGTATCTCAACTCGGTTGATGCTCGAGTTGGATTTAATAACACTCTCAAGAGTTAATAGAGGGAATGATTATTCAATTTTTTATTTAATCCAAAATTTTTATTTAAAGAATTGAAATTCAATTGACAAATGTTCTTTAATTAATTTTTATTTTATTTTTTTGTCATTGGCTTAAACCAATACAAAATTTTTGACACTATTTATAATTAAATTTCCATTATTACACGAAATAGAACTTTTTTCATGTGATACAAGTTTTTAATGATTTTAAAATTAAATAATTCAAAAGAATTCAGGCTACGTAAATCAATATTGAAAAAAAAAAAACCTATTTAATTACGACTACAAACCTTCAAATTCTGTGTTCTTCCCGTCAATCTTGCTAGTAAGCAAAGCTTAACAAGTATCTTACACCGACACTGATATGGGACACGACACAATATGTTGACACGTTAATTCTAAAAAATACCATATTTTGACATGTTAAGACACGTTTTTATATTAAATAATATTTTTAATATATATAATATAATTTATATTTAATACATATAACAGCTCATAACAAGTTATATAACCAATAAAATATTAAAATTTCATAAAATAAATATATATCAAAATTATTCGTATCTTATTAAAGTATTTTTCGTATCTTATTAATTTTTCATGTCAAATTTCATAACAAAAAAAATAGATTTATAAATAAGTTTTTCATGTTTAGTTAATAAAATAAAATTTAGACATTAAAAAAAAAGTGTCGGAAGTGTGCCGAAGCATTGACCACGTATCGAAAAAAGTTGACCATGTGTCGGAAAAATGTGTCAGAGTGTTGACCGTCTGTCCTAAAATATTGACCGTGTGTTGGACACGTGTCGAAGCCTGTCGGTGTCCGACACTCATCTTTCAAAAAAAATTGTGTGTCCGTGCTTTATAGGTTAATAATAGCAGAGATGTTAGCAGGGGCAAGACTTGGAATTTGCTAAGCTCTCAATCTTTTTGTCTTTGTTCTCATCATTGCTATGCTCTAAATATTCAAATGGAGAAGTAATAACCCATCCCAAAAAAAATAGAGAAATAATTTGCAGATGTGTGGCAATATGGGTTGAATTCGACGGGTTAACCTATCAACTTGTTAAAACGGAGCGGGTTGGATTACACATCTCAACCCACCAACTTGCCTCGCTTGGTTGTGGGTCAAAACATAATATCCCTAGCCTGATTACATAATAAATTACATGTAATTAAGTAATTTAGCATGTATTGATGGGTTGAAATAAGTAAAAGGCCTAATTAAATTAATTGGGGTCACTTTTGAGGTAAAAAGTGCAGTCAGTGAGAATTAAAGGGTAAAATATATGTAGGAAAAAGTACCCAAAATATAAAAGTGATAGTAACTGGACAAATATTATAGATTGTTGGGTAAAGTTTGAAAGAGAACGAAGTTAACTAGATAGATAAGCTTTTACCTAGTGAAAATAACTTAACCTATATAAGTGTTAAAAAACACAAGACCTCCTTCATTTCCTTCTTCTTCTTCGTGAAAATAAAGAGAAGGAGATTGATAGCCATTGTTGAAGAGCTCAATCTTGCAGCTTCTCCATTTCTTGACCAAATCACTTGGTTCTTGGACCAAAATTGTATAGAATCTCAAGCCAAACACAACCCATAGATTAGATTCTCTTGAAATCAAGTGCGTAGTAAGAAAAAGTGAGAGGAAAGTGGCGCCCTAACTTGGAGAAAGAAGCTTGTAGTGGCTCATTGGTTGATTCAAGGCTTGGAATCTACTCCCTAGGTGATTCTAAGACTACCCATGGTAAGGAATCCCACTTTCATTAAGTTTTGTGGGAATAGGTATGTTAGGGTTTTGATTTAAGAAAATGCATGAATAGTGGGGTATGTTAGAGTGAGATTGAAGTTAAATTCCCTTGTAAAAGTTGTTAGGAATGATAAATAAATGGTAGAAGTGAAGTTAGATAGTCATTTGATTATACTATGAAAATTTCAAGAATATATGCTTGGTTTGTGGATTTTCTTGCATTTGTAAGAAATGGTTTGGTTGGATATTGATTGTGTCCATGTGATGGCTAGGATTGAGGCAATTGGATCATCCTTGAATGACCAACCATTGGAGGAAGCAATAGAGCTTGGTTAGATCACTTGAATTGGTAAGTTCATGCCATTGTGGTGTGAATATGTTTGTTTGGTTGATGACAATATTAGTATTCATTGGATTGACTTGATAGATTGTCTAGTACCTTGATGTAGGTATTGATTGTTGGTATTGTTGTAAAGCTTGGTTGATTGTTCATTGGTGGTGAACCAAGGTTAAGCTTTGAAGCTCATTGAGGTAAGTGGTTGTTGATAGTGTATGTAAATGCAATAAAGTAGTTTAATGCTTTGTGATACGTATGTGTATGCACTGGGTGTGGCATAAGATGGTGGTTCCCTGTGTTTTGTATGTTGCATGACAAGGCGTAATATTCATACTTGGTAGTTTAGATGGCTAGTAGGACTATTTGCATCTGAGTATCCTTAGGTCAGCATGAGAGCTCCAAGGATGTCTCCTGGAGATGTTTTACACACTGCATGGATATGTATTTACTGCATTGTTTATTGTTATTGCTATTATATTGTGAGTGAATTATGGGGTGGAGTGATGCTCCAAGAACCACTGGTTTACTGTGATGTATTTATATATCTCACCTCATGTTGTGGGGACCCTCTTTCAGGTACAGATGTTGCGGAAGCTTCTGCTGGCAAGTGGCCATGCTTGAGTTAGAGGGATGCATAATGATGCTACATTCTTTTGGTTATGCATGCCATTGGGATAGTTTACCATGTACAGGACATGTTGGATGCATCTTTGGTATAAGTCTTCATGAGGGACTTAGGAGATGATTATTGACATTTTGTATAGCCCTTGCATATATAAATAGGGACTTTGATAATATGCTATTCTAAGTTCTTTGCCATGTATATAAATTTGGAAGAACATTGGTGTAATTGGGATATTGACACATTGACGAATGTGATGCTATATTCATCATTTTGAATTGTATAATTAATCTGATGTAATTATATGCTAATGGATATCATGTGAGCCTTGAAATGGCAAGGAATCATGTATTCAAAATGGTTGTATAATGTCAATTAGGTGAAAGAAGATATTTAGATTGGGAATCAATGTAAATATAAGGATACCATGTCTTGTTGTCCATTTTTCATATCCTATATGATAGATTTGGACCCTTGTGTCTTAATGAAAGTTGTATATCTTTTTCTTAAATTTCCAACGAGACTAAGATTGCATCAATCGGATAAGTATAACTCAAGTTATGGGTAAAATACTAATGTAGGGTGAAATCTCCAAACCGTGGCGCTGTCAGCGCTGGGAGACGCTAGCAAGTCAGTGCTCCGGCCAGTGTTGTCAAACCTGGACCGACCCGGTCGGGTCGACCCGGGTCCCGGTGACCCGGTTGGGTCACCGGTTTGGGTGAGCTATTAGACCGGTCAAGTAATCAGCCCCCAGTGACCCGCACGACCCGCCGGGTTTTTAACGGGTTCCGGTGACCCGCCGGGTTCTACGAACCGGTCCGGGTCAATGTAAAAAAAAAAAAAACTAAAAAAATCACTGGATCCAATAACTACGTCCTTAAAAAATCCCTAAATTTTACCAAAGCCCTAACGGCTAAAGTGCTAAACTGTGTGAAATTCATAGTCTTCTTCGTCGTCGCCGCGTCGCGCCTGGTGGTGTTCTTCGTCGCCGCCGCGTTGCTCCAAGTGAGTTTGAGTCTCCATGTTTCCCTTTCATGGTTTACCTTTCTTTCAAATAGCTTCTTGCAAATAATGGTTCTAACCATTCTTGCAAATAACAGAGCACCGAAGCTTCTATAGCACCAGGCTTTTATCACTGCTCTCACGCCAAACCTCCATTTTGGTTCTTCAGGTTCTCTTTCTTTTGTTTCTTTCATTCTTTTTCCCCAGATTTGTAATATCTCCTGATTAGATAGCAGGGATGCGTCCACTACAGTTCTTTTGATAAATTTTTAAAATTTAAGGGCATTCAAATTTTTAACTACAAATGAGTTTTATTGTCATTTACTTGTAGATTTCATTTTGCATTTCTTTATTTTGTTAATATTCAAATTTTAATTCCTATTATTCCAAATAATGGTCTATACAGTTATTTTATTAATATAAATGACGATGCATCAGAATATTCTAGTCCTGTTATTGCTAGAGTAGACCTTTGTATTCTTTGGTAGTGTTCTCCAAGAGGGTAGGCCAGATACAAGCAATTATTCATCATATTTTTGGATACCACATCATGCAGGAAACTAGTAGTCCATTTATCTCAGATGGATCTGAACTAGTTGGAAATGTATAGAGTTGTATTTGGAGTTGTTAAAACTTCAAAGGCATAAGTAGTATTCTCAAGTTTTGGTATATTGCTATAACAACAGTAATTGATCATGGCTACTGAGAAACAACCTTCAATTGGTCTATTATTGCATTCCTTAAGCACGCCATATAGTTCTATTGCTATTAGTTATGTATGTATGTTAATCAAAACGTGAATACTTGGATGAATAATCTCAGAAGCAAGAGGGGTTGTTCAAGACTTCAAGGTTATATTGGTTTCACTTGACATAAAAGTTGTACACTTCTATGCAGTAAATGTACTCATTTATATGAAATGTTTTCTGCTAATGTTTAGATTCCTCCTATGATAATTTTACCTGAGTTTCCTTATGTAATGTGTCAAAATAAAACAAACACAGGGTTCCCAAGCAAGTAGAGATGACTTGTGCCAATTGCTAAGGGGTACTCCTAATTTATCTAAATTTATTATTTTCTTTTGAGAAGGGTGTTTACTTTATACCCTGTCAAAAATTGCTTGAGTTCTATTATGAAATATTAAGATTAAGATTGAGTTTTTCCAACTACTTAAGTCTTAGTCAAATGAAAATTGGTAACTGAGGACAACAAATCAAATGGGTAGAAGAAAAAAGGGATAACCTGTGATTAAAAAAAAAAAAGAGAACATGACATTCTATTGATTCTTTTTCGGTGGGGGTGGGTGTTAACTGGGGAAATTTTATTTTATGGCCATTGTGCTTTTTATGTGTTTTGAAGATTTCTCAGGTTAATACTTGATAACAAAAGTCAAATTCATATTGATTCTTTTGGTTATAATTGTTTGTCTTATCCTTTTTTTTATGGATACATTATTTGTTTTATCAGGGATCCAATCTAATGCATTATTGGTTGCAGTCCTCTCTTTATTTTGCACAGTTTATTTTCAAATTAGTATTCTTTTGAATTTGATGCAATAATTTTGTTTAATTTGATGCAGTGTTTTTTTAGCCTACATTACTAAGTTGTTGTGATTTGTGAAGATGGCTTCCACTGAACCCGAAAAAACACCATCATCACAAGATGTATCGTCTCAATTTTCATCCCAGCCGCATTATAGAGGAAAAGTTAATCCAAGTTGGACTCATTGTAAGCAGGTTATGGAGCAAGGGAAAATTGTGAATATGTGTCTTCATTGTAATAAGATTATTAGGGGAGGTGGGATAAATCGGTTGAAGTTTCATTTGGCTGGAGAAAAAGGGCAAGTTGAAGCATGTAAGAAAGTTCCAGCTGAGATTCGTGCTCAGATGAAGCAAAATATTGATGAAAACAAGAAAAAGAAAAGAAAAGTTCAAGAGCAAGATCACGAAGGTGGTGAACATGTTGATGACTTGAGAATAACAAATGATCAAGTGCAACAAATTGCAAATTTATCAAGGAAATCACCTCTTATTTCTGAAAAGGGGAAGAGTATCAATTCCTCGGGTTCTTATTTTATCCCAAGAACAACTCCTGGAGCTCAACCGACTTTAAAAAGTGTGTTACAAAGCAAAGAAGTGATTCGGAAAGCTCACCTTGCTATATCAAAATGGATGGTTCATGCGCGTCTCCCATTTAATGCAGCCAACTCACCTTATTTTCAAGAAATGTTTGATGCTGTATGTAGCTTAGGTGCAGGATTTAAAGCTCCATCATATCACATGCTACGTGGTGATTTGCTAAATAGCCAAGTTGATGAGGTGAAGAAACTTCTTGAGAGCTATAGAGCTGTTTGGAAGCATACTGGATGCACTATTATGGCAGATGGATGGACTTATCGTTGTAGGCGCACTCTTATTAATTTTCTGGTTTATTGCCCAAAAGGAACATTTTTTGTGAAATCTGTTGATGCTTCTCATGCATCTAAAACTGCAGAATTATTATACCAGCTTTTTAAAGAAATAATTTTGTTTGTTGGGCCAGACAATGTTGTTCAAATTGTGACTGATAATGCTGCTTGCTGGGAGGTTATTAGAGGCTGAGTTTCCTAAGATATTTTGGTCTTCGTGTGCTGCTCATTGTGTTAATCTAATGTTCCAAGATACTGGCAAGTTAGATGATGTAATTGAAGCTGTGGAACATGCTGCAAAAATCACCAAGTATGTTTATAACCATTGTCATCTGTTGTATTTGATGATAAAATTTACAGGTGGGAAAGAAATACTTCGTCCAGATCCAACCCGTTTTGCCACAAATTTCATTGCTTTGCAAAGTATATTGGCTCAAAAAGATGCACTAAGAGAAATGGTAACATCAAGAGATTGGATAAGTTCAGCTTATTCCAAGGATGTGAAGGCAAAAAAATTTGTGGAGCAAGTGTTAGACTCTAAATTTTGGAAACAATGTGCTGATATTGTAAAACTTACTGAGCCACTTGTACGTGTATTGCGTATTGTTGATAGTGAAGATAAGCCTGCCATGGGTTTTCTTTATCAGGCCATAATTAAAGCTAGAGAGGAGATGGTGAGGAGATTTCAAAGAAATAAGAAGAAGGTGGAGCCATATTTGAAAATCTTAGATACTCGTTGGGATTCACAGCTTCGTAAAAATTTGCATGCTGCAGGTTATTGGTTAAATCCAGGATGTCATTTTAATATAGATGAATTTGAAAAATATGAGCTCACAACATCTGGCCTTTTGGATGTCATTGAGAGGTATTCTTTTGGGAATTCTGAGTTGCAAGCTAAATTGACAAATGAGATGAGGATATTCAAAGCTGCTGAAGGTGATTTTGGAAGGCAATCAGCTTTACGTGAACGAAATACAATGATGCCAGGTAAAATTATTAACTTATCATAGTTGAAAAATATATTAGTATGAATTTATGAATACTACTTTTTTTTATTACATTCTAGATAAATGGTGGGAATGTTATGGCTTTGGTGCACCAAACTTGAGAAAATTAGCAATTCATATCCTAAGCCAAACTTGTAGTGCCTCGGGCTGTGAGCGAAATTGGAGTATATTTGAGCAAATTCATTCAAAAAAGAGAAATAGGTTGCACCACAAAAAGCTTAATGATCTTGTCTATTTTTGTTGCAACTTGAACCTGCAAACAAGGTATTATTATGTTCATTTATTGTTTATATTCATTTGTTATATTATACATATAAATATGTGCAAGTAATTTTCTGATGTTGAAAAGTAAAAATTTTAGGGATCAAACGAAGCGCCAAAATTATGACCCAATTGATTTGGCAATGATTGAGGAGCATTGTGATTGGATTTTGGAGATGTCACCAACATTATTAAATGATGAAGAAGAGGAAGTTTTACGTCAAAACATAGACTTGAATGTCGTTCCACTATTTGCAAATGATATTGGTATGCTTTTGTACAACATAATAAATAGAATTTTATTGTTCAATTTGATTTTGATCAATTAATATTTGCTATTAACTTACATGAAAATTTACTTGTCATAGATCAATTAAATTTGGATGAGGATGAAGATAATGATGCAGATTCACACAACGTGGAAGTTATAGCCCAAAATGAAAGCAATGATGGTCAAGGTTTAGATGAGTTTGGTGGGCCTGAATTCATTGATGCAACTTTGGAACCATGGGCATAGTGATAACATGCATTTCTATTTATTTATGCTTATTTTGTGCAATTTATGGAGTAATTATGAACTTGTGAAACTGTAAAGTATGATTGGATATATTATATTTTGAGCTTATTTTGTGAGTTGACAGATGATGAATCTGTTTGATGGTTGGGGTTATAATATGTATATCCTCAATAGTTATTTTGCTTGAAGTCTTGAACTACTCCTTTGGAAGAATTGAAGTTATGGTAATTACTTTTATTAAGTTATTATTCTTATCTCTAGAAGTTTGTTGATATTGATGGTATCAACTTGGGTTATATGTTGCTACACTATCCAAACAAAAAAACTTTACATATGCATACATGGATCAGGAAGAAGAGTTATTTTGTTCATTTTGCAAGATTTGGGATTTTTTGTAAAATCTTTACATATACATCCAGTGAGCAGGAAAAATTAATGTTTCTCAAGTTGTACTCAGATGCTGATTTTTCATATTTATATACATAATTACATATATTTATATATATTCGGGTCAACCGGTCCGACCAGTGACCCGGTACCCCGACCGAGTTGATGCCCGGTCCGGGTTTAACAACACTGGCTCCGGCGCTACAAGTTTCGCGCTGCCAGCGCGGGATCCCTGTAAAATTCAGCATTTTTTCTTCAAAAATTCATAACTTGAGCTACGGTGCCCCGATTTGAGCGTGGTTTGAACCCACGCGTAGCTAATGGAGAGATCTATAACATAGTGTGAAATGAGGACCGTAAAGAGAGTATAAAATTCCTTGAGAAACTAAAAAGTGAAGGTGTTTAGTGTTGAATATTAACAAAAAAGAATTTTTAAGCCTTGTCGGTCTAAAAGGGCTACTTGGCACACTGTGGTAGCAACGTATGGGCTAAATAAATTTTATTAAGTGTTCTGCTCATAGTTTAAGTTATTATTACAGTTTTTGAGATTATTTTAATTACGGAATTGATTTTTAAAAGAAACGATTATTAACGAAAAAGGAAAAAGTTTATTCGTATTATAATTCAATTACTGTTATTGTAATTGCGCTTAATGTCATACGTAATGTTAACAAACCGGTTCTAGAACGGGGAGTTACACAAAACGGGTTGGCGGTAAGTTGGGTCGCAGTCTTTTTTTTTTACTATTAGGTAGTATTTTACTTGTCACTAAATTTTTGTGGTATAAAATTTTTTTATCTTGATACTCCTCTAGAAAAAATAAAGAAAAAAATTTTATTTATGACAAAGGTTATTCATATATAGAGGCAAAAATAAGTTACTAAAAAATGTCTGACTTATAATTAGTATACCTTTATGCTTGAGATTGAAAAAAACTAAGGGGAATATGAAATGAAAATAAATAATATTATAAAATTAATAAAATATAATTTTTTTATTTTTTTTATGCGAATTGACCCGCCAACCTACCGTCGAACGGGGTGGGTTGAACTTTTTAACCCACATTCAAGAGACGGGCCGACCCATTTTGACTCTAGTAATATGTATCAAATCAAACTAAAAAGAGTTTCTAAATCCAAAAAGAAAAAAGAAAAAAAAAACATCGTGTTAGTCCGCTCTCTCTTTCTAAACGCACAATATATATATATATATATATATATATATAGATGGAAAAAATATTTCTCAAACTGCTTGAGATAAATTTATCTCCGGCCACCCTAAAACTACGTCGTTTTGATTATTTATTTCCTTATATGTATATATTCACCTTTGAATGGTTATGATTCCCTTTTTCTCTCTCTTCCTTTATCACCATTGATCCATCTTTGTACGGTTATGATTACTAGCCGAAGATAACTTTATCTCCGGCAGCTTGAGAAATGATAAGCCCTATATATATATAGGGTTATGTTTATCTCATTTAATATGACATAAACAACTTTCCTACACACACAAAAAGATATTGGGTCCTACCACTCTTTTTTTTTTTCTCTCCTCTTAGGTGTGGATCCCACCTATAATTTTAATTCTACCCGCATGAGATAACTTTTTTCTTATAGTATAAGAAAAGTATTTCCCTTATATATATTCCACGAAACTCATAAACGTTCACAATCATATAGTGCCACAGTACTCTCATATACGCGTTGGAGAAAAAAAGGGGTTCGGATTTTGGATTTCAAGAACTTGTTGGGCATCTTCTTCTTCGGCATTGGCTCTAGCTGCTAGCATGGATCCACATGCTATATTTCCTGGCTCACAAGTCCCCACAGAAAAAGAGTTCTATGAAAAATTGGAACGTGAGCTTTGGTTATTGCGTTCAACACTTGTGTACCACGACGCACGTAAGATATACCCATTCGATAACCCCGAATCTCGAGAAGATTTCTGCAAGAATTGGGTTGGCATGAAGCTTGGGGACTACTATATAGAGACTGTCATAATGAGAAAGAAATACGAAATGAGGTTAAAGAAGAATTATCAAGATTTGGTGCCACGCGAGCAAGAAGTATTAGAAATGGGTAACAAGATATGGAATAGCAGAGATGCCCCCTCAATTCTTTCACTCCAAGCTCCTCATGACACTGCTGAAGATCATCATCAAGACCCCATGCTTTCAGAACAATATCATAACAAAGGTAAAGGGAAGCTGCACGAAGATAATAACAACGAGGAGGAACGTGAAGATCGTCAAGATCCCATGCTTTCAGACGATGATCGTAACACTGGATGAGCGCGTTGCAGTCTTGCATAGTCTCTGTTTCTTTGAATTAGTGTTGCAATCTTTACATAGTGTACGTTTCTTTCATGTTTCTTTTTTTTTTTTCTTCTTCTTCTTCCCATGTATTGTGCATTTTTCAATTTTCACAACAACGGGAACTTGGCTTAGAAAGATTTCAGTTCAACTAGATTCGGAGGCCTTTGCTTTTCTCCAATTGACTCTGTTTTTGCTTTAGAATTCAGAATTTTTCTTTAACAGCCGGGAAAAGTGTTTTATCTCATAGTTAAAGAGTTGGGTTTTACCCAAACCCTTTGCCACAGTTGGTCCGGAGGCTGTGTTTCCTTAACCGGTGGTCTTGAGTTTGAGCTCTGGATATGAAAAAAAAAAATTGGGTAGAGCCGCCCTCGCAAGGGTCTACGATGCTCGGTTTGGGATTAGTCTCACCCCGAAGGAGGTGAGGATACCCTTCAATTACTGAAAAAAAAAAAAAAAAGAGTGGGATTTTAATTACTTAACGAACTTCATAGCTCAATTGACACTTATTTCAAGTCTTCAACACTAATTAAGTATATTAATGACAATATAAAAAATTCATGTCACATTTTTTCTTGTTCTATCCAAGTGCTTACATCTCAAATGCAGCAACCCAACAATTTTAAAAGAAATCAAGAATAGCGTTTTGGTTCAGTTAGGTTGATATAGTTGTTCAGATGACAGATAGTGATACACCTTGGCTGAGTCTTCTTTTATCATTGCTAGAGGAAGCTCCTTGTACTCCAATGGGCTAAAGGTAAGTTTAACCACCAAAGCCTAAATAAGGGGTCAATTAAAGTAAAAGATATAGTAAATCAATTATTTGAAGTTTTTATAGAAAACTAAACTGATTGACAAGTATTGTCTCATTTGTTTAATTAGAATTGTGAGGGAATGATGATCCATTTTTTATTTAATCCAATTTTTTATTGAGAATTGAAGTTCAATTGGCGAATGAGCTAGTTCTTCGGTTATCATTTTTCTTTTTTTTTATCATTGGTTCAAAATTAAGGCACTCAACTTTTTCTAATTATATTTATTGAATTTTTTAAAAAATGCTAGCCATTGGACTGGCTCCTTTAACCCAGAATATACATTATTTTATTTTATTTTTTTGGTAAAGGAAATATACATTAAGTTGGACTATAACTTGACAAAATATATTTTTTTTATTTTTGGAAACAACTTGACAAAATATTAATTCGAAACATATTAGACCGAATTTTCGACTCAAAAACAATTAAGCCCAAATCAACTTGGGTTGGTCCATCTTAATAACTGGAGGCGTTGGCCAGATTTTTAAACAAAAATATCCTTATATCCACACATTTATATTTTATTTATCATGAATATAGAATTTATAATTAAGTTTTCATCATTATAAAAATTAAAACTTTTCATACGATATAAGTTTTTAATGATTTTAAAATTAAGAAATCAATATATATTTTCACTTCTCTTATTTTACCAAAATTATTTACCTTCAAAGTGTGTGTTTTGATCACGTCGATTTCGGTAGTAAACAATGGTTAATAATGGTACGAATGTTAACTATATAAGGGTGACAATTCATTATACAACCATTGACTTGACAGATGATTTTTTCCACATTCATCTTTGTGCTGTGTTCAGAATGACAAAAATGACATAAAAAAAATATTGTATTATGTTGCATGCGAACATGGAAGATGACACTAATTCGTGCTAATCTTTTTTTTCAGATTATGTATGCCATTTCAATTCATATAATAGCATTATACTTTGACATTAACAAATTATCTGTGATATATTATGTTAACCTAAATAATAAGTAAGACACTTTAAAATTTGTGAATTATTCGTGTTGTGTTGCGTCCAATGTTATAAAACCAGATCTGCACCGGCCAAGTCAACCCGAAAATCGATAAATCGGTCATTTAACCGATCCGAATAACCTAAAAGATCGGACATGTAAACCAACCGGTGAAATCCGTCTAACTCGGTCGAATTTTATTAAAACCGATGATTTGCTAGTTCATCGAGTCTGACCGGTATGGTGTTTCGCTTTTTCTTTTTCTTGGTTTATTCTGGGGCTTTTGCCCGGCTACTAAAAATGAAGGAGGAAAAAAAAATTGCATTGAGATGAAGAGTCAAATAGAGAGAAAAGGTGAAATGAAAAAAAGAGAAAAGAAGGGTGTGAAATAAAGAGAAAAAATAGTGAGAAAATAAAGAGACGAAGATAGAAAGCCAGCAATCCACAGTCTGAGTAAGAGACGAAGCTTCTCTCGGTGCCTCCGACTAAACTGCAATCATGGGGGTG